AGTTCAAGTTGGAAAAGATTCACACTGACGAAAACCCTGCTGACATGATGACGAAATTTGTAACAGGAGGAAAGCTTCAGCTTTGTGCCGAGTTGATTGGCATGGAATGCATGTGAGACTTGCAGAATATTACCCTCTGGCTGGAGGGGAAGAATTGTAAGTCCAGCCAAAAGAGAAAAATAAGAAAAAAAAATTGTGATATACAGATACACACAAAAGTTTCACATGGTGGCCAGCCACAATAAAACAAAGGCCAATTATTGTTTAAAAGAAAATCCAGCAAATGAGATGCCAATCATAATTGAAAAAGTGAGCTGTCATGAACCTTTCTTCAGTATAAATAGCAGTGTTTGCAGTGTTGAAGGACGCACCAAGAAGCGAGGAAGAAAACGATCAAAAAGGAAATTTTCTGGAGTGTTATTTTTCAGTGAGATAAAAATAGAGTGTTTGAGTAAATCCTGTGAGTGTCGGAAAAATACACCGGGTTGGGTATCAACTCTATTACTCTTTGTTTAAGAGTGGAGTTCTCACTGGGTCACTATATTTTACATTTCTAGTGTAAGGGAGTGTGAAAAGATATTGTAATTATCTTGAAAATATAGTGAAATTGTTCGGAGGTTGTCCCGTGGTTTTTTTTCCTCTATTTGGAGGGTTTTCCACGTTAAATCTTGGTGTCTTATTTCTTGCATATTTTATTTATTTGGAATATTCTTAGTATGCCTGTGGTCGCAGTTTAATCAGATCTTCCACATCAGAAAAGAATTATTCCTGTTTTTCAAGAGATTTTTCTTTTGTCATTCTTGAGTTGCTGGGATTGAGATTATTGTTCACCATTTTACCTTAATATTTTAATTTACATCTTCTGCATTGCGCATCTGAGCCCAACAAAGTGTCAGTTACACTAAAAGAACCAAAACGATATCTGGACCAACTCCCCTTGTAAACACACAAGATGGTACAAACTCATCTAGAAGACAAACGAAAACAAAACAAAACTTAAAAAAATGAGACACTAATTCCATAAAAAGAGACTACAAACCAGACACCACCGAATTAAACAGAACAAAAAAGAAAGAAAGACAAAAAAAAAAACGACGCAATCTTAATAAACAAGTCAAATAAGACCCATCTTAAACCTAGCAGGTAAACTGAACAACCTGTCGTATGAAAAACCGAATCACACATCACAACACAGTAACTCAACCAAAGAGCAAACCGAATCACACATCGAATAAGACCCATCTTAAACCTAGCCAGGACTGTTTGGAAGTTGGCTCCTGTTTCTTGGGATGGTATTGATCTGCAGGAAATTAGCTTCAAATCTTGGTGGTGGCACGTTTGTGCTATCAAAAAATCAGAAACCTCGGAGGCAAGGATACAACTCTCAACTTATATTTTATGGTTGCTCTGGCGATCTCAGAACCTGTGCGTGTTTTGCAAGGAAAGAGTCCCTGAAACTATCATCCTCAAAAGAGCCTTAAGCGAGTGGCAGGAGTTCAGGGACCTGGGATAGCTGTTGTCTCCTTGAGCATGCTTTTGTGTGCTTTGTTCTAGCTTCTGTTGCTGTTAGACTTTTTGTTCTTTTCAGGTTGAGTTTTTGTGCTGCTTAGCTGCTTGTTGTTTAGGGTGGTTGTGTCTGTTAGTACTTGTTTGTTTGGTTGGAGTAATCAAGGTTCAGGTGCA